TTAAGAATGTAAATGAATTCTTTTGCCTGACAGAAAGCCACAGGAAGTCTCTTTACATAGGTTTCTGACACTGTGACCTTCTGATTCCCAGTCCCAGACTCCAGAAAAAAAAAACTAAGTAAGACCAAACGTCAGATCTGGGAAGAGTTTTACCCATTCCCTGCCCTCCAATTCCCCAATCCCAGTTTTCGTAAAGGATTTTATTTGCTAAACAGACACACTGGATTCAAAATCAGAAAACAGAAAGCTAACCAATGCAAAGAAAGCCAGTTGGGCTGTACCACAATCTGTATTCTCTTCCCTCTCCAAAACATGTTGTCTAATGAGTAAAGTAAGAGCGATATATAGAGACGCTGTAGGCATCCACACAGCCGGTAGACAAAGCTTATTTCTCCTTATACATGACTGCAAAGCTTTCTGCTTGCTCTACCTACGTATGCAAGCTTTTTCTGTCCTAGTTGTTTGCGAAATAGACACAGCCCTTCTCCCCCTCCCCGACTCAAGCTCTGGTCACAATACTGGATGTTGAAGAAAATGTTGTTAAAAACACTTGGATTATTAGCACAACCAGAAGTCCTTGATCACTTACTTACTTAGAAATTCGTAGAGGAAGGTGAACTATGAGACTCGCCACTCCTCCAAAGGATAAGAGAAGAAAGTATTTGTGTAACACCAGCAATCACTTTATAACGACATTTAGGAGGCTTTTACGACCTCCACCATCATTTGGCAGCTAGCAAAGATGGCAATCCAGCCACATTCACAGCCCTCCGAATACGGAAGACATCCCAAAGGCAGTCTGGGGGGTACTGAGATGCTTTAAGTTCATGGACAGACCACTAGGAAAAGCACAGAGGAAAGAATCCCAGGAGATCATTTCACAGTTCACAGGAGTATAGCCGAAGACCTTAACAGGAGCTCACATCAGGCTGTTGGCATAGATCGCTGCAGAAAATCATGAGCAACAGCTTTTAGCACAATCTTTCTGGAGCGATGCGTTTGGGGATCGAAACAAATATATTTCTTACTGATTGGGATTATTTCATTACGATGCTACTTGGAATAGACATTGTCCTGGGATAATGAATCATGAGCCCTTGCAAGATGGAAAGGGCTTCAAATAATTACCTTGCCACCAAGGAGGCAGTTGGTCTCCTCGAGGAATAGTGTTATATGGGGGGTGGGAGGGTGTTGCTCTATTGCTGGTGGGTTGGATGGTCATTGGCAACAGGGCTAAACTCAGCCTCGGTTCATAGGAGCCTCTGCAGTTTGTGGGAGCCAGGGCATAGCCCCATCCCTCTAACTGTGGCTACGTCCCTCCTGTGTCCCTGGTACCAGCACCATGGTGGCCAGTGCCTGGAGTTGGCTGATATCAGATGGCCAAGTCATTCTGTCTGCTTGGTAATTCAGGGTCTCTTCCATGGTGGGCACTCTCTGGTGGGCATTAGCATATGATGCAAAGAGCTTTGCACTTCATGCCGCTCCCATGCCCATCCACGTGCCTCCAACCAATCTTTCAATCTTTGTCTATCCAGGCCTCTGTCTATGGCCTAACATCAGGCCTTTTTTCCTTCCATACAAAGTAAAACGTCAGGTACACTGCCCAAAGTTCTGCCTATCGGAAGGACTTTTTTCTTGCCAAGTGGTTTTCAAAGCCAGTCCTTGTAACATACGTACTGTTCACTTTCCCCTTGAACCCACGTGTTGAACCAGCTCATCCATAAATGAAGCTTGGGTTTTTGCCTTCCTCTGCCATGCGGTTCATCAGGTCTGCTCCTACATGGCCCTTCATGAACCGGGGGGCGGGGGGGGGGGGCACTGGTGCAACAATGGCAGCCGAAGCGAGGCCGGGCTGCGCACTTATGCAGCTGGCTGGGGTCCTAAAGCCTTTAGTGAGTCACCGCTCCCAGTTATGATGAATTGCTGCTGGCCTACTGACCTCATGACTTCGTGGATGTAATAGCTCTCAGCTCATGATGGGCAGCTCCAGATGCACACTCATCTGGGGTCCTGGGTTCACGTACTACATCTTTACCAGGGCCCGGTATCATGCCAAGAGTTGTTTTTCCAAAGACACATTGATCTCCCTTGCAGACGGCACGGCTTTGCAAAAGAAGCCCAGGGGACTATGTGACCAAGTTGTGATCCCTCCACTGGGACTGGCCATAAGCCCCACACAGCATCTTTCCCCAACACCTGTACCTCTGATATTAAAAAGGAGGGTTGCTTCCACATCAGCCTGGACGTGCTACGGAGCCCTTCTCTGCTCTGGGCCCCACTCAAAGGGAGAAGCTGTGAAATCCTCATGTAAAATGGAGCCAGGAATTCTTGAAGGGGGCACTTTCACGCATGTACCATATTGCAGCCTGCTTCACCAGTAGAGAGAAGAAAGGGAAAATTACTTGGACAAGGGAGGGCATTTTTTCTCAGAGGAATTTATCTCCTATTTTGAAGAAAAAGAAGGATGATCCCTCCCTGCCCCCAGCAACAATGTGCTGACCACCCCATACAGCGATGAGAACCCGCCAAAACCTCCAACACTGGCTCTTCTCCAATGAACTTTTGTTTAAAATAACCCTCCCCAGTTTCCTCCTGAAACCTAATAAAAGCTGACCTTCCCTTTGTCTCTTTCAACTTGCCTGTGGTTCACCATAGTTTGCTTGTCCTGAATTGCAATTTCTCTCCTATTCCTAAATAAACTCATTGGGCTGGTAAAATAACCTGCCATTTTGTTTTTAAGGTTGACAAAACATTTTATGCCACTTAGTGCGTGGGCTAGAGCGGTATTTCCGGGTGTGCCATGTGCCGTCTCCAGAACCAAAGGTGCCCATCAGGTATGTGCTTCCTTCATTGTGGCAGGAAGTGCAAGCTGTAATATCTTGTC